TGCCTTCTTTACATATTATTCAGAGACCAACTGTGTTGTAATCGCGAAACTAACTGATACTCACATAATAAATACTTCTCTACTCACAGTTTTTGTTGAAGTGCTTCTTAGTTGTTTGTTTTCTTGAAGCTGTATCCTGTAACATTACAAAAGCTGGCTTTAGCAAGCGCGACACTTTTGTTGTTCTTAAACTCCTTGGTATATTGGAACCTGCAAAAAATATTTTTCATATTTGATTTGAATGTTTTTCATCCGTATGATCAGCGATGCAGGAACGATTATACGGTGTATATTCATCAAATTGATGTTTATCATTGCCAGCTGCATTAGAAAATGGTGTTTACTATGATCAGATAAACAGTTTAATTCGTTACATTTCATCATTGAAGTTAGAAATCTACAAAAATTCTTTGTTATATTTTATTGTATTTTTATCTATTTGTTTTGATATTCGTTATAACTTTGATTTTGATGTAAAACAATCATTCAACGTTATTATCACAGCTTAGTTATAATTTATATATCCCGCTCTCCATTTGAATTCACTTATATTTAAATGTCTATTAGTTTAACTATGGTGGAATTATATTAAATATCTTATACAACTGTATACAAATCTATCTGTCTGTCTGTCTCTCTCTGTGTGTGTGTGTGTGTGTGTGTGTGTGTGTGTGTGTGTGTGTGTGTGTGTATGTGTGTGTGTGTGTATGTGTGTATGTGTGTGTTGTTGTATTTTCTTATTACTCGTATATAATTCCTATGCACTGTGCTTTTATTATGCACTATTATTATTCAAATATTACAATATAATGGAATGTATGTTTGAGAAGGCCTCGTAAGTGTGTCACTTGTGCCTAATCCATTTGATTTTCCGCAATAAAATATGTTTATAATAACAAAATCTAAAGTTGAATTAACTTACTCGTATTCCATCTTCAAATAATAGTGTAGTGATCAGCTAAAACGCATGTGGTCCTCGATGAAAGTGTCAGATGAAAATGACCTGCTGGGTAAACCCGTCACCTGCTGGTCACTGTCTAGATTTGTCATCCTTCATGCGATATAATAAGGGGGATAGTGTGGCCCCTGACATGAATTTGTTGAAAGGTTCTCGCAATAGCTCATTGGCCAAGTGCCCCGGCAGGCATCACATTGCATAACGGTTAGTTCAAGCTACACACGTCTGTTCATCCTGGAAAAGTGCCAACGCTTAGCCTCTGAAAATATATAATTTTATTAGAAACAAACAAGTACATTCAAATTGAAAAAGACCCCGATTGAGATTGGAGAAATAAAATATATCAATAAAGCAGACAATTGCTGTCGCATTTTCAGGTTCGAGTAATTAACTGATCATGGACTGCGTGGTCGATAGGCGGTGTTGATTCAACACGTCTTCTGTCTATGAGGTATCAGGTGTAAATAGCCCTGGACAATATGGGGTCATTTTCTCCCCAAATTGTGGCCACTTTCTCTACAGTTTAGGCCATTGCCTCCAAATTGGTTGGGGCATGGGGCCATTTTTTCCTGCAACCAGTTACAAGGACTATAATTGCTAACAACAAAGTTACGCGGTGTGTAAGCATCTATCATACGTTAATTCTCTTTCTTTGGTGCACTTCGTATTGTCATATATATATATGTATATTAACATTTAGTCCAAGAAATGAAGCTATTGTATATATAAATATACATCTGCAACAAATGAAGACGAATCCAAATAGTGACCTAAACAATGTTTCAATTCAGGAGCTGAGGCAATTGAGACTTTCCAAATCTTCCTAGACCGTATATTATCGTGATAAACAAGAATTACCTCACAAAATCTGACATAAGGATAAAAGCGTTGTTAATAAATTCAGTGACCAACCCGCCCTTTATTTTTTTCAAACGTCTCCATGGCTGTGACTGTTCATTCTCCATACCGCCGGGGCCGAGGCCACGTTTGGGTATCCAGCATGTCAAGCAAACGAATTAGTTTTTCTGTTTGTTTTTTTCAACAGCACCGAATGTTGTTATGTATTTTATTTCATAAGAAAGTAGGCCTTCGGCCCAAATTTACAGTATATATTTGGTCCAATACTGAACAATAAAAACGTTGTGTTGTGTTGTGGCATGATACATGTACATGGCATGGCTTTTAACTACCTTTACATGAGGTGAAGAGATCGATTAATTGCATTAAAACAGTGTTGAATGAATAACATGTATGTTTGGTACACATCTTTCTCGTAACGTACTGTATTTGGAACAAATCAATGCAAAATGGAATATTGATATTTCATTACAGCAAATCCTTTCATATCTTGGAATATTATCTCAGTGTCCCTTTATTATGCAGATGTAGACACGTTGAAAACAAATGCCTTCAGATGAGAATACAACCGCTTTATTTATATGCTGCCTGTGCTATACTAACCCAAACATTTTGGGCATTTTTTTCAAGAGGGCATGTGCTCGTAAACTCATATTCTCTTCGAAAAACCTTAAAATGAAAAGACCGACTTTTCATAGTCATCTAAATTATTATATTAGGTTATATTATTTTCTTCATACTAAAAACGAGTACATTAAAGGTAAACTTGATTCTGACGTACCACGTGAGAAAAGTTAAGGGCGGATTGGATAAGAATTGTATTCTCACCACACTCTATGTTTGTGAAGTGATACATTTCATTGAGATAATATACCGTGACAAGTCAACAAATTGTTAATTGCTTCCAGCTGACTATTTTCAGATGAATACCATCAACCCGGGCTCTGCGGAAAGTGTCACGACGCATGGTATGACATCTTCCGACACTGAGGGGGTATTAGCGCACAACTGTCACGTGTTGTGGCGAGAGAGCTGGCATCCTTTATCAGTTTCTCAATAAATGCAGTGTGATAAGATCGTATCAGTAGACAGTGCACATACCCACGAACATATGATATTTTCTTCTCCCTAGGATTCGCCATGGGTGTCCGTTGCCTCCTCTCAGTTTTGCTCGTCTTCCTCCTCGTGTAGAATTTGGTCAATAAACACGATGTCATCAGAACACATAATCTGACCCACGGTTTAGCAGTAGCTTGCTGCTAATTTTTCAAGGGGCCGATCTGTGGAAGGGCGCGTGTATTTGTGGCGGCGGGGGGGGGGGGGGGGGGTCCAGCAAGTCCAGTTTCTTCTGTGTGTTTTTTTTCTCAACAGCTCTGATTAAATATAAAGTTACAACTTTGTATGATCACAGTAAAAATGTGTTTATATCTAAATCCTAAATGGTTAGGGTTTCAACATTTGTAGGATTGTGTTTAACATGCTAAACGTGTTTCGAGTCTGAATGTGGGAAAACTCGAAGTAATCAGTTACACTTCCATTGTTTTGCAAGTACATGTGAATCTGATTGGCACATCTAATTTCAATATATATTCCACATCATATTTACATTTTACTTGATGCCCAATGATAGGCACTTCATTTAAACATGTTTAGATTATTAGGATAATACACAATGGTTTGCATTTTATCGTTAACATGTTTAAAGGTTAAACCAAATGTGTATTCCGCTTCGGATTTCAACACATTCTAATTTTCATTCTAAACTCATTTTACAGTGTAAGTACCATGATATCTAATCTGAAATTAACCATTCTCATGTGTGGTTATGAAATACGTGGACCAATAACTGTATGACATGTACAAGGCAACAACGGGAAGTTTCCTCAGAGGTCAAAAATACATTTACATGAATACATGATATAAAAAAATATTTTCACTGTAGGCATTTATTCACGTTGGCCCATAATATAGTAATTTTAGAGACCGATAGAGTAGGATGTGCACACCCTTTTCGCGAATTTTCGTGATCCACTCATATAACTTCAAGGGATTTGGAGCTGAACCTTACATTTCAAGTTATATTCCCCGCTGTGGCAGTAGAGCCCTTCCTCTGTTTCCATGCGGAGTATAAACATGTGGCGTATAGCCCCACTACACGTATAAACAGGCCTGCACTGCAATAAGCCACAGTGGCACGTCAAGAAGTAGCATGTTTTAATGGTCATGTCCCATTAGTCAACTGCCCATTTGTCATACTCCCAATAGTTATACAGCAAACGAGGGATCAGTTAAAACAACAATAGGCATATACCCTTTCGTCAAAATGGATTAGTCCACTAATTAGAAAGCTTGGGATTAGTTTATTATCTAACATAATTATCTATACTGAGTATGACACAGTCTTTTGTAATGAAAACATAAACGAATGTTATTAAAGTAATATACATTGAAGTTATTTGAACATAATACAGGACAGTCTTTGATAATCAAAACATTCAAATTAAAGTTATTTAAATAAATACCTATAATGTTTAAGTTACAAGTACAGGATTCATCTCAAACTATTTACTGTTCATTACTGAGTTAAATTGAGTTTACTCAATTTAGTGAAAAAACACAAACTAGTACATAGAAGTGTCCTGTACCGGCATAGACAACACACCATACCAGCACTCCCACTGGTAAGAGGTGATGTGGAACTTGAGGGAAAGTGGACTGAGACAGCTGACGGCCAACCATACCTGTTGTTTGCTGACGGTGATGGCGAAGAAAAGATGTTAGTCTTTTCCTCTTTGGATCAGCTGACTATTTTGCAGTCAGCAGATAACTTCTACATGGATGGTACATTTTCATCATGCCCAGCCCTGTGGAACCAACTCTTCATTATCCATGCCAGAAGAGGTTCCAAGACCTACCCCTTGGTGTTTGCTCTTCTTCCCGATCGCCAGACAACAAATCAATGTTAACTGTCATATGATACGGCTCAATTTGTAATATCTTTAAACCCTGAAATAAACTGAATTTACCTAATGGTTTAAACGTGTAATATATGAATGTTTACCGGACCATATGAATACTTGTTTTTGGAAGGACGACAACGCACAACGCGACACTGTCTCCACTAGGATTCCATAATTGTGACATTATGTAACTGCTACCATGACACTATTATCTATTATTACAGTCATACATGCGGCTGACCAGGAGGCCCTTGACTCGGATGTGCACAGTAAGTAAAATAAAATGTCGCTAGTGTATATTTCTTATGTTTATCAATAACCTGGTAAATACGATTCATGTCAAATTTAACATTCACTGATAGAACTCTTTGATCATGCGTGCTGAAGAGAATAGCTTTTATAAAAAAACATACATGATTGCTACAAAAGTTACTTTTATAATAATTTACGCTAATTTGTTTATTTCGTGAAATTTGAGCTTATAATGTATATAATGTTTAATCATAACGTGATTTGAACTCTGCCGAAACGATACAGATTTTTACTAAATTCATTAACGTATGTATATGATTTACCTCTTTCCACTAAACCTTTCAGCTATTTTGATGTTATTGATTGAAAAAAAATTGTGAAAAAAATAATGTCATGAAAACATTTTCAACAATTATTTTGTAAATTTCAGATGATTCACCAGTCAAGAAATTCAAGGTACAGACACATGAAGGAAAAGTTTCAACCTAGCGCGGGTAAACGGCGGGAGTAACCACGACTCTAGAGGTAACCTGTTTTCTCTCTTTAAAAGTCACACATAATTAGATACATATGAAAACAGTACAAATTTGAAATTACGATGTACATAACATATGCCATTTAATGTACAGGTTCATATGTCACAATGTTGACATGGTCTCTGGGATAATGAAGCCTTGATTTCTTTAGATCTGTATGCGTACAATATTGAATGTTCCCCTTTTTATTTGTAGATAGACCCAGTACATCCGTCCAAGTTATAAAACGAATCGTGATGGGCATATGTAGACCGCAAGACAAAATAGGTAATTGTGTTTTATATATCATACATACATACATACATACATACATACATACATACATACATACATATTTATGAGTATTTATTTATTTATTGTTGTGTTTATATACATATCTTCAAGTATACGATCGACCGAAGAGACACATAGTTGTTTAATAATACATATAATTACACATTTCAGTAATTCCTACAAAGAAAGACACAAGAAACATAATTTGAAGGACTCGGGTAAATATAAAAGTTACACAAAGTTCACCAAATCTACCTAAAACCATTACTAATTCCATGAGTAGATTCTTTTAGGTTCCATATATTTTCCGTTATTCCCTGTCTTATCATTTGTAATATTTGTATACTGTAAATATTGAAGTTAACGCGAGCGTGAATTAAATGCGAAAAATGCGAGTTATATATTTTTTCTGAATATCAGGTGATGGTTTTCCATCATTATACAAACCGCCACTAACCGAGTCATACTTCTCTTGGAGACGGAAGAATCACTTCTAGAAGGAGCAGTTGAACATTTGCTTCATACCACATATGCTTCCTTTTCGTAAAACCCGAGGCAAAACTATTTCCTCAAGTATTTTATGTTGCAATTATGTGTCTAAAAAGACATCCTAGTATTATTTTGATGCAACTTATTTGCAGATTTATCTGTCGGTACCATGCAGTTAAGTGACGTTTTCATAGCCTAATATCATATACATGTATTTTCCCTTAATCCACAGCGCCAACAGTCCCACCCGGTATAGACAGGGGTACAATGTGCCATGAAGGTAAGAGTAACTTGTCAAAAGTAGCATTCGAATAAGTAACGTCTTCAGTTGCATTACGAATGGAAAGCAATATATTTCACCTGGATCTCAGTATTAATTTATGATACTTCAGTGGAAGTATTTGTTCATATTAACGTTTTATTTCCGACAACTGAACCTTGCTCTTGGAAGAAATTGTGTTGATTAACCTTTAGTGTCGGCACATTTAACTACTATGAATACAAATTGTTTGTTTAAGAAACAAATTTTCCTGTGTTTTTAGCAGTATCCTCGTGTGTTTAAATGTTAAACAAGTTCAGATACGTGTGTTCATCGCTTGATATATTGCCTTTTAATCCTCCAGTTCCAAGCCAGATACAAACACCTTCCCATTCAGGAAGAGAGGTCGGACGACAATGGAAAGAAAGGTGAGGAAACCAGTGATAATAAATGGCATGGTGTACTTTTCCAGTCATGTTATATTCAACACCAGGGTCTTGCGCTTGAATGTTAATAATGCGTTCCTTATTTTTATTAACATCCCTAGATATGTTTTTTTTTATGAGTAATCGACTTTCCGTGCTTATAAGTATTTTATATTTCAGGTCAAAGAATGGTGCTTGGGGACTCGCTATGCAGGGGGATTGCGGGCGATATACCCAACTGCTCAGTAATAAGCAAACCAGGAGCTAACCTGAAGCGAATGCAAAAAATAATAACCAATTTAAATGTAAAGACTTATCACTCTATTGTGTTACATGTAGGGACAAATGACATTTCTTCCTTTAATCCACATCGATTTCTCTCTGAATATATGACACTAATTAAATACTTAAAATCGATGAACCCTGATGCCGTTATAATGTGTTGTGACATTATTCCACGCATCAGGGATTTCAGCACAACACAGAGGGTTGTAATCCATGCGAACAATATCATAAGGCATGTGTGCACTGTTCTCAGATGTAAAAATGTGCGAACATCCAAAAGATTTTTATATTTGGGAACAAGTGGACCAAGGCACTATCTATATTGTTCGGACGGATTACACCTGAATGATAAAGGAAAGTATCAGCTGAAAAGGTCATTTGCCCAAGCCCTATCACATGCCCATCAGTAAAGATTTGCTTTTGTCCTAGTCATCCCATTTAGAACTGTTTAAAAGAATGAATATATTCACTAGTTTATAAGAAATTTGAAAAATAGTTTTCTGCTGATATTTCCATTTATTTCTTTATTTATTTTAGCTTATGTCGTAATTTATAGGATTTTTATGCTTTTCAAAATATGGTCAGAATAACACTCTTATAGTCCCTACCTACATTTATTTAATGCTTATGGTAACAATCTTGTTCGTAGTAAATTGAGCTCTGTATTCTGATGAACTTAGACACTATTTATTCTCGCAGTTATTGTAGTATGTGTCTTTGCAATTCTTAGTTACTGTTTTCTGATTAATTGTAACCAATAGTCATGCCCGGTAAAGTGAATGTTGTGATAACTAATTTCCCTTCCCTTCTCAGGACATTTTAGACCTATCCATATTATGTTGTTTTGGATTGTACTATGCATAAACCAAAAAGTATAACATTTAAAAATCGTGTAGAAATCATTGCAGACCTTACGCAGCAAATTGTTATGTGAACTGTAACGTATGTTATATTTGGGATTACACTGTCTTATTAAAGTACACATTCTGATACTTTTTAGGGTCCCCATGTCATTTGTCCCTACTTGCACTTTCGTTATGTGAAATGTCCAGTAATACTGATTTAAAAATAATAAACTTTCCTCTTATTTTAGTTAGTTTCCATATTCCAATGCTAAAAAGTATTTGATTATACATTTCTGTTTTTCTTCCAACTTTTCCGATATAAACAAACGATCTAATCTTTCATTTTGGACTAGTTTATCTCCATGAATACTAGTAACTTCTTCTTGTCATATTGGTGTATCGCCAATCACGTATCTATTAAACGATGTTGTTCATATTCCCTTTTTGTTTTATTTACTTTTTTTGTGGTTAAAGCTGATTCATCTGCAGCATTCATCTCGCCACACAAGCATAAGTAATCTGTCTCAAACCGAGAAAGATTATTGAAAAAGCATAGACTATCTGAATTTGGACCATATGGGAAAATCAAAGAGAGCGATATATGTAAACAAAAAGTAGAAACATTAAAAGCCATAACAAATCGTTAAAAATCAGTCTGCGATAGCCTCGAAAGGTAGATACTTATACAGGGCAGGGAAGTCCGTTCACACTTTAGTGTCCAGAAGTTCTATATGACTTAATACTATATATGTTAAACATTTCTTACTTTAAATGTGATGACGAACGCGAAATCCCCAATAAAGCTCACCAAAGACAATTTGTTTGGATTCTTTGAAGGCTAATTCTAGATATTGTGACGGTTTGAATACGAAAAACCGTGTTTGGAAAACAGGGACGGAAGGATGCTAAACCTTAGAATTATGTCACTTTCTATTTTCTTAGAACTATTAAGATGTCCATCTACACCTTTGTTGCAGAAAGTACCCTTCTGTCTCGCCTAAATTTATTGCTAAAAAGATTTGAAAAATCGTCTCCAAACGTCTGTTGATGTCGGCCAATTTGGTCTCGAAAAGTAGGTATGTCTCGAAAAGTAGGTTGGTAATATTTATATAGAGCGTGGGCGCTTTGGAAAACAGGTGTTTTACCGTGGTATATTGTCACTTTCTATCTTTTTTAGAACTATTAAGATGTCCATTTACACACTTATTGACGACAGTACCCTTCTGTCTCGTCTAAATTCATTGTTAAAAAGCTTTGTAAAATCGTCTTCAAACGTCTGTTGATGGCGGCCATGTTTGTCTCCAAAAGTAGGTTGGTGATATTTATATAGGGCATGGAGGGTTTGGTAAATAGGAACGGAAAGGTGCCACACCGAGGTATATTGTCACTTTCTATTTTTGTTTTAATTATTAAGATGTCCATCTTCACTTTTGTCGCAGAAAGTATCTTTCTAGCCTGTCTAAATTCATTATTAAAAATCGTTGAAAAATGGTCTCCAAAAGTCTGTTGGTGATGTTTATAGAAGGCGGCCATTATGGTCTCGAAAAGTGGGTTGGTGATATTTATATAGGGCACGGAGGGTTTGGAAAACAGGAACGGAAAGGTGCTAAACTGGGGTATATTGTCACTCTCTTTTTTTTATAGAATTATTAAGATGTCCGCCTACACTTTTGTCGCAGAAAGTATCTTTCTAGCTTGTCTAACTTAATTTTTAAAAATCGTTCAAAAATGGTCTCCAAAAGTCTGTTGATGATATTTATAGAAGGCGGCCATTATGGTCTAGAAAAGTAGGTTGGTGATATTTATATAGGGCGTGGAGGGTTTGGAAAACAGGAACGGAAAGGTGCTAAACTGGGGTATATTGTCACTTTCTTTTTTTATAGAATTATTAAGATGTCCGTCTACACTTTTGTCGCAGAAAGTATCTTTCTAGCTTGTCTAACTTAATTTTTAAAAATCGTTGAAAAATGGTCTCCAAAAGTCTGTTGGGGATGTTTATAGAAGGCGGCCATTATGGTCTAGAAAAGTAGGTTGGTGATATTTATATAGGGCGTGGAGGGTTTGGAAAACAGGAACGGAAAGGTGCTAAACCGGGGTATCTTGTCACTTTCAAGTTTTTTATAGAGTTATTAAGATGTCCATCTACACTTTTATCGCCGAAATTACCCTTCTGTCTCGTCTAAATTCATTGTTAAAAAGCTTTGAAAAATCGTCTCCAAACATGGGGGCAGCCATGTTTGTCTCTAAATGTAGGTTGGTCTCGAAAAGCAGGTTGATGATATTTATATAGGGCGTGGGCGCTTTGGAAAACAGGTGTTTTACCGTGGTATATTGTTCCTTTCTATCTTTTTTAGAACTATTAAGATGTCCATTTACACTTTTATCGACGAAATTACCCTTCTGTCTCGTCTAAATTCATTGTTAAAAAGCTTTGAAAAATCGTCTCCAAACATGGGGGCGGCCATGTTTGTCTCGAAAAGTAGGTTGGTGATATTTATATAGAGCGTGGGCGCTTTGGAAAACAGGTGTTTTACCGTGGTATATTGTCACTTTCTATCTTTTTTAAAACTATTAAGATGTCCATCTACACTTTTATCGACGAAATTACCCTTCTGTCTCGTCTAAATTCATTGTTAAAAAGCTTTGAAAAATCGTCTCCAAACATGGGGGCGGCCATGTTTGTCTCGAAAAGTAGGTTGGTGATATTTATATAGAGCGTGGGCGCTTTGGAAAACAGGTGTTTTACCGTGGTATATTGTCACTTTCTATCTTTTTAAGAACTATTAAGATGTCCATCTACACTTTTATCGCCGAAATTACCCTTCTGTCTCGTCTAAATTCATTGTTAAAAAGCTTTGAAAAATCGTCTCCAAACGTGGGGGCGGCCATGTTTGTCTCGAAAAGTAGGTTGGTGATATTTATATAGAGCGTGGGCGCTTTGGAAAACAGGTGTTTTACCGTGGTATATTGTCACTTTCTATCTTTTTTAGAACTATTAAGATGTCCATCTACTCTTTTATCGCCGAAATTACCCTTCTGTCTCGTCTAAATTCATTGTTAAAAAGCTTTGAAAAATCGTCTCAAAACGTGGGGGCGGCCATGTTTGTCTCCAAACGTGGGGGCGGCCATATTTGTCTCGAAAAGTATGTATGTCTCGAAAAGTAGGTTGGTGATATTGATATAGAGCGTGGGCGCTTTGGAAAACAGGTGTTTTACCGTGGTATATTGTCACTTTCTATCTTTTTTAGAACTATTAAGATGTCCATCTACGCTTTTATCGCCGAAATTACCCTTCTGTCTCGTCTAAATTCATTGTTAAAAAGCTTTGAAAAATCGTCTCCAAACGTGGGGGCGGTCATGTTTGTCTCGAAAAGTAGGTTGGTGATATTTATATAGAGCGTGGGCGCTTTGGAAAACAGGTGTTTTACCGTGGTATATTGTCACTTTCTATCTTTTTTAGAACTATTAAGATGTCCATCTACACTTTTATCGCCGAAATTACCCTTCTGTCTCGTCTAAATTCATTGTTAAAAAGCTTTGAAAAATCGTCTCCAAACGTGGGGGCGGCCATGTTTGTCTCGAAAAGTAGGTTGTTGATATTTATATAGAGCGTGGGCGCTTTGGAAAACAGGTGTTTTACCGTGGTATATTGTCACTTTCTATCTTTTTTAGAACTATTAAGATGTCCATCTACACTTTTATCGCCGAAATTACCCTTCTGTCTCGTCTAAATTCATTGTTAAAAAGCTTTGAAAAATCGTCTCCAAACGTGGGGGCGGCCATGTTTGTCTTGAAAAGTAGGTTGGTGATATTTATATAGAGCGTGGGCGCTTTGGAAAACAGGTGTTTTACCGTGGTATATTGTCACTTTCTATCTTTTTTAGAACTATTAAGATGTCCATCTACACTTTTATCGCCGAAATTACCCTTCTGTCTCGTCTAAATTCATTGTTAAAAAGCTTTGAAAAATCGTCTCCAAACGTGGGTGCGGCCATGTTTGTCTCCAAACGTGGGGGCGGCCATGTTTGTCTCGAAAAGTAGGTATGTCTCGAAAAGTAGGTTGGTGATATTTATATAGAGCGTGGGCGCTTTGGAAAACAGGTGTTTTACCGTGGTATATTGTTACTTTCTATCTTTTTTAGAACTATTAAGATGTCCATCTACACTTTTGTCGACGACAGTACCCTTCTCTCTCGTCTAAATTCATTGCTAAAACGCTTTAAAAATCGTCTCCAAACGTCTGTTGATGGCGGCCATGTTTGTCTCGAAAAGTATGTATGTCTCGAAAAGTAGGTTAGTGATATTTATATAGGGCGTGGGTGCTTTGGAAAACAGGTGTTTAAACGCGGTATATTGTCACTTTCTATCTTTTTTAGAACTATTAAGATGTCCATTTACACTTTTATCGAGGAAAGTACCCTTCTGTCTCGTCTAAATTCATTGTTAAAAAGCTTTGAAAAATCGTCTCCGAACATGGGGGCGGCCATGTTTGTCTCGAAAAGTAGATTGGTGATATTTATATAGAGCGTGGGCGCTTTGGAAAACAGGTGTTTTACCGTGGTATATTGTCACTTTCTATCTTTTTTAAAACTATTAAGATGTCCATCTACACTTTTATCGACGAAATTACCCTTCTGTCTCGTCTAAATTCATTGTTAAAAAGCTTTGAAAAATCGTCTCCAAACATGGGGGCGGCCATGTTTGTCTCGAAAAGTAGGTTGGTGATATTTATATAGAGCGTGGGCGCTTTGGAAAACAGGTGTTTTACCGTGGTATATTGTCACTTTCTATCTTTTTAAGAACTATTAAGATGTCCATCTACACTTTTATCGCCGAAATTACCCTTCTGTCGTCTAAATTCATTGTTAAAAAGCTTTGAAAAATCGTCTCCAAACGTGGGGGCGGCCATGTTTGTCTCGAAAAGTAGGTTGGTGATATTTATATAGAGCGTGGGCGCTTTGGAAAACAGGTGTTTTACCGTGGTATATTGTCACTTTCTATCTTTTTTAGAACTATTAAGATGTCCATCTACACTTTTATCGCCGAAATTACCCTTCTGTCTCGTCTAAATTCATTGTTAAAAAGCTTTGAAAAATCGTTTCCAAACGTGGGGGCGGCCATGTTTGTCTCCAAACGTGGGGGCGGCCATATTTGTCTCGAAAAGTAGGTTGTTGATATTTATATAGAGCGTGGGCGCTTTGGAAAACAGGTGTTTTACCGTGGTATATTGTCACTTTCTATCTTTTTTAAAACTATTAAGATGTCCATCTACACTTTTATCGACGAAATTACCCTTCTGTCTCGTCTAAATTCATTGTTAAAAAGCTTTGAAAAATCGTCTCCAAACATGGGGGCGGCCAAGTTTGTCTCGAAAAGTAGGTTGGTGATATTTATATAGAGCGTGGGCGCTTTGGAAAACAGGTGTTTTACCGTGGTATATTGTCACTTTCTATCTTTTTTAGAACTATTAAGATGTCCATCTACTCTTTTATCGCCGAAATTACCCTTCTGTCTCGTCTAAATTCATTGTTAAAAAGCTTTGAAAAATCGTCTCCAAACGTGGGGGCGGCCATGTTTGTCTCCAAACGTGGGGGCGGCCATATTTGTCTCGAAAAGTAGGTTGGTGATATTTATATAGAGCGTGGGCGCTTTGGAAAACAGGTGTTTTACCGTGGTATATTGTC